CCAGCCAACAGCAGCTGCCTGCCCTCGCCCTGAACACAGTTCTGGGGGGCACATGCCCCCATAGCTCCCCCAGGGGAGTGTGCAGCAGCAGGAACTCTGTCACCGCCCCCCCCCCCCAAGACAAGCCACTCGGGGCTCTGTCCCATTTCCTGCCCCAGCTGGGCAGTGTCTGCCCCAAGCCCAGCCCCACTCTCTCCCTCACCACAGAAGCCTTGATCTGTCCCCTCCCCTCCCACACCCCTTCCCTCCTCTTGCCCCTTCTCTGCAAAGACTTACCAGACAGACACTGCTCTCCAAGCTGCCAAAATGGCTGCATACATGCTGTGGCTGTGCATATGCACGCAGTATTTATCAATGACACTATCAGCCACATCAGCCAAAAAGCCAATTGCCGATACTGTCAATTTTCCTTTTATCAGTGCCGATACGAAATGGATCCATGTATCAGTGCAGCTCTAAGCAGTAGATATATTTTTTCTTCACAAATATTACAGAGCCAGCTGCAAACACAACAGTTCCACTGTGTAAGTCAATGCATGGAATTACCCAATTACAAAAGGAAGTCCTACATCTCAACAAGCTACATCCATTGGCATCTATGGGTACAACACATGCAAGTAGGTAGAGTTTGTAAGCAGCAGTGAAGACCCTCAAAATCATAGATATAATTACGTTTTCGTAATCCAAGGTACTGTGGTAAGCAGCTATTATATAATTTATCATCAGAGCACCTATTTAAAACTTGGAATCATAAACAGGAGTGTATAAAAACAGTAAAATCTCACACTTTGGCACGTTGCTTAACACACAGTGAGACATCACAGGATGGAAGGGAAAAGACAAAAAGCAGCTGAGCATGAATGCAGTTATAGAGGATAAGATTATTGATTCACATACATAGAAAATTGCAGCAATGAGAATACTGATGAACACCACCACCAATAACAGCTGCTGGAGTGATTCTATTGCTGCTCCAGAAACCAGGGAGCAGGAATGATTTTATTCTGAAGGATTTTATTCTCTCCCCATCTCCACAGAAGCCCTCTCAGCCAAGCCCTAGCATATATAGGAAGAGTATTCATTACTATTCCCAGAAAAAAAATTCTTGGTGCCCCTCCAAGGGAGCAGGGGGAGAGAGAATAGAAAAAGGGGATAGAGGTGAATAGTAGAAGCAGAGTATAAGCAATAGCTCAGGCAAATACCTATACGTTACATTCTACTTGATCAGCTTTTTGAAGACGTATTAAATGCTTAAGTCACAATTGTTTGGAAAAACAACACACCCTATTTTGATACATCAGGAAAGTTACATTTTTGCCAATATGTTCCTCCTACAGGTTTTGACAGCAACACTTTAGTTCTAAAATATCAAGAAAACTTTGCTGCTCTACAATCTGGAAAAAAAAACAGGATCAAGGGTTAGTTATTCTGTATTTAAAATAAATGCAAACAATTAAAGGTGCGTTATGCCCGCTGCAGGGTGAAGCAGCAGCTTGCTCAACAGTACACAAAAAATACAAATAGAGGTTACAATTATAGTAGCTCCATCCTAATAACAAGAGCTTTTCCCAATTTTTAATGGCCCCAGCACAGTGAACTCAGTTTGCCCCACACAACAGCTGGAACTCCTGGATCTAAAAGGAGTTCTCTGCAAACTAACTAATCCAGGATTTTAAAATGTGCAGGCTGCCTTACTCAAGTAATACCTCTATTTGAGGACTTGCATGAGATTTAAGTAGTGCCAAGGCCATGTGCTAGCTCATCAAAGAACCAAGCCCAGCATTTCATGCTGGAAGAATAAGCATCAGTTTATCATATTATGAAGGGTCTTTTAAACAACAATTCTGCTATCAAGGATATTTTATTACATTCTAAGTTTCAAGAAAAAGGCTTAGATTCAGAAGCTCTTTAGAAATATCCTGGAGTCAAAGATGGCAGTGGACATGGACAGCTAAGTCAGCAAGTTACTTAAGCACACACACAGTCCTATGAAACTTACTCAGCAAGCATTCCAAGTGCCAGCTTCAAGCAGAACAGCTCCACTGTAAGAATGAATGCACTATGCACATGCAGAGCAATTCTGCATGTGTTCCTCTTCTGCTCAGCTTTCAGTCATGCCTTGCTTTTTGGAATATTTGACATTGACAAACTGATCATCTAATCCAGTGTTTCTCAACATTTTCAGGTTGTGACCTCTTTTTCAGACTAAAAATGACTCCACCCCTTCCAGTTATGATAATAGAAAAGGAAAAAATTGATAAATCCATTTAGTTTGTGTGTGCATTTCAAAAGGAGTTGAAGTAAAAGTGAGTGAAAGAAGCAACATTTTGCTTTAGAATTGTACTAAAATTATTCAAGGACTTGCAACAATGTTGTTTTTTGTGATGCCATTCACTTCCACTCCTACTCTCTCTTGTAGCAACCTATAAATTGAGAAACACTGATCTCTAATCTATGCCATTTAGAAGTAAGTTCAGTGGAGCAAGTTTCCAAAGAACTTCCATATGGTCTCTAGACAATGACCATTCAGATCCTGTATCATTCCAGTTGTCCTTCGAGTACCTTCTTCACATCCCGGCTTGGCTGACCATTTGGGTTTTATATCAAATATGGTTAAAACCTCATCTAACATTCCAAAAAGGGCCTCGCAGCATAAAAAGAAAAAGACAAGTTATTTTATCTGTAACTTTACATTTCTCTATACTAAATAGTGTAAGCATTTTTTCATGTTTATTTCTAATGTGTAAATGAATCCTGTGCAGTAAAACATGCTTCTTTTCATAATGATATGGTATCTAAATACAATGAATTCTTTTTGTAAGTTTTGTTAATATATACAAGTGACCACACTCTTTAGTAATTATGACATGTGAAAGTCTATCAATTGTTTAACAAAGTAGTCCATGTAAACAACATAAAGCTATTAATAATATTAAATATGGACTCCAAAAATTGTTTATTCTAAATTAACTCTAGTAAAAAAAAAAAAGGTGTCAAGCTCTAAAACAGATGACCGGTAACAAGATTTTGCAATTACACGTCCCTTGGAGTGGTGGTTTTTGGAGTGCTGAAGTCCATATTAATTTTGCTAATGAACAATATAATTAATTCAGTTAGTCACTATGCAGCTGTTGATTTAGACAAGTATTCCATTAAGACTCTATAAACACTTAAGCAGATAAATTTAAGATCTGACACCATCTTATAAATAATGCCTATTATAATTATAAGACCACTAATTTCCTAAACAAGTACCATATCCTCTATCAACATGAGGAAAAGGAATTAAATAGAGTAACTATATAATGCAGGTAGCAGTGCTTTCATAGGGAACTTCACTATACAAGTATTCCATGCATATGCTTATGACAACAGCATAACTGATCTCCATCAAAAGCTAATCTTGAGGAATGTTTAACGTGATACAGCCATTAGGATAGTATTCTTCCTGTTACCATCAATACTAGTAGCAGGTCAGAGACAGAAAACTACTACCACAGACACCAATGGATTAATTTATTTGGTCAAGATGCAGCTGAATTTGCAACCAATTTGAAAACTCTGATGTAAGAAACTATCCACATAACTGCCACACTTAATTCATGCATGTAAAATACTCTGTACATATATTTTTGCACATGTAAATCCTCAACAGGTTTTGCTGGCCTCACATCACTCATGTCACAGATTAGGCATGTCTTCATTTGCACTTCATTTTGAAAATATTTGCCTAATTTTAAAAACATGGCTGTTCATGTTTAGCCCACATTATCTTGACAGACTTTCTGGGCCCCTTCTTCATTGTGCAGTAGCTCTGAAAGTTATGAAAGTAGTCTGAAACCCATGCTAGCTAAATTAAAATTACCATAGAAACTAACCTGTACTACAGTCTCATCTCAAACTGTAGGGTACATTTTACACTATCATAACCTGATAGTTCATATGAAAGCTATAAACTGTTATTGTCTATATGATTTTACCTCAAAGTAAGTAACTTGTTATTTGTTTCCTCACAGATGCAGGCATAGGTGTAAAACAGTATGAATCTGGCCCTGAAACAGTCTTTTGTACCCAACCACTTCACCTCAGAATAAAGGTACTGGTGGCCTTTCTAGATTTGTTGCACAGAAGAATAGAGTGGAATTCAGATTTTTTTAAAATATTTCTATGTGGATTCTCTCTTTGGTTGAATGGATGTAAAAAGATGCTGTTCTCATAAGTTGTGTGTGGTCTGAGGCACAATTTAAAAATTGAAGATGAAGTCTTTTGCCTCCGTTAGAATAATAAAAAGTAGCTGTTTATCATACTCCATTAATAGCACACTCAACTTAAGTGTCCAATGCTTCAGCAAGCAATCCAGTTACTACTGCAGTCCAGAAGGACTTCCGTTTGCCACATACAAAGCAGCTGGGTTAAGTATGTTGGCTGCCTGCAGCTGAAGATAGGAAACCCTACTCAACGGACCTACCAGCTGACCGAGTACAGCAAGTTCTCTGTCCCTACATACTGAATTGCCTTCCCACACCTTACCACTTAAGTGATAATCTAACAATCTGGCAACATCTCGTCATTCATTCCACATGGGATTCTCTGCCAGCCACTTTTCAATATCTCTGATAATTTAACAATAGAGGGATATGTGTACAGGCTTTATATATCTATGTATAAGGGGAGAACACATAAGTTTGATATGCAAATCAGCATGTTTCCAATGGAGATTTATAGTTTGCAAGAGAGAAATCCTTGAACAATCAAATTGATGGTTGCAGAAACCTCCTTTTAATATCCATGCAGCAATGGTCAAATCTTGCACTGCAATGCAGAGTTAGGTCCTATCTATAACTTAACCTTTGCCCTGCAGAGGAGCTCACAATATCAGAAATGCCTCGAGTCTGTTGCAAATGTCAAGCCTCTTTCCAGGAGACTGCGTTTTACAAAACATAAGAAAACTTAAACAAAGAATAAAAATCAAAGGAGAAAGCCGAACACGGTTTACTCACCAGACGTGTATTGACCACAGGGAACAGCAGTGCCAAGAGAGCGCCATTTAACATATGCATCTGCAGCCTTAGAAAAAAGATGTAATGTTAGTCACAGCCTGGGAATCTATTCTGAATTACAAAACTTTAAAAATATTTTATGTAGCATGATCTTCCATGAAACAGTAAGAAAAGCTTTGTGTATTGGTCTGAATTTGAATAAAGTCAGTGCTAGCAGCAGTGAAACAGATAAGCATCTATCCAGTTGAGACGATTTAACTGTTTTCCCAAATTAAGAATGCTTTCTCCAATGAGCTTTGGAGTTGTAAGTTGTTTGGACTGCTGTTTTTAAAAGCTTCCTAAAGATGTTTTTTGTGAAAGGTCTTTTGGTTTGGGGATGGCATGTGACATTTTTTTCCCCTTTAGGATACGAAAGGTGTTCAAAATCATTTTTAAGAAGCCTTTGTTCCTGCCCAGCTGTATAAATGCAAGGTAGCAAACTACAGGTTCAAGAAATGTGCTTTGAGTAGTATCTGTAAATGCTCTGAGTAGCAGAACAATTCATGTCCACAATGACTATACATTCAAAAGCCACCAAGGCAACTCCTGAAAAATGGGCAGATTGGAAAGCCACTGCTGCTATTAGACTGCTGGTCACTGCCCCTTGAGCTACTGACACATCCAACCTCACACACCCTGTCCTATTTAAATCCTCTCTACAGATACGCAGCACATCAGGCTTCGTCTTGTGACCAAAGCTGGTCTGCCCAGACTAATGCTAGGTTACAAATTACTTGAGAGAAGTACAATACTTACAGAAAAGCACTGGTTTTCTACTGTTCCATACTAAAGGAGGTTAGGATTTGTGAAACCTTCCCTTCCCTGCCCTTATCTGGCAAACATCTGCAAAGTTACAGCCCTTCAAACTCTCCCTCTCCCCTTCTCCTTCATCTTCCCCACAGACTCCAGTTCTTCAATCCTTTCTTATTTTAGGGAATAAGCACAAAACTACACATTCAATTGTTCATGCATTCTGAAACTTAAAGGATTCACATCCAGTTCAACACTTTATCTGGAATTTATGGGGGGGAATGGGCAAAACAGCTAACACAGTCTTAACTATTCGAAGTGCAGGCTCTGCTCCCAGAAATCTCAGCTTGGACAAGGAGATACCCTTCAGCTCCATGTTCCTATTGTATAGTAAAAGTAAAACTCAAAGAGACTACAATGACTGGAAATACAGTGTGCTTTTGTCTGCCATGTTGGTGCCTGATTATTTAGTATCCCTACACTGTGAAGAATTAAATACTGGTAGGGGACTGTCCTCTAGAAAAATGTACTTGTTCCTGTTTCAATAATTCTTTGGTAGGTTACTTTTTCTTACTATCTGTTATCTTAATCTGCTTACAAAAAAATTTGAGCTATACATCTCTGATTTAATCTATAAAAGGTGCACAAGTAACCTGCCTGGCTCCAGATTAACACAGCTAACTACTTCTCTCTCTTTCATCAGTCTTGATTAAAATTAGATACAGGTCTATTTGGACAAATCATTTCTAGAACAAAATGTGAGGTCTTCATTTTCTCTTTACCTAAAATGCCTTCAAGGAATGCATATGCCAGTTGTGCCTGGCAAGTAAATACCAGCCTCAAATCTAGCTGAAAATGCACCGCTGGAGGAGGGGGTAGGGCAGGGCCATGGCAAATGTCTTCATCTTTCCTTCTGTTCTGTACATAGATGCATGGAGTCAGTCTGAGCTGTGCTAGCACCATGGCAAATGGTGCTCTCCCCTGCCTTGGGGTCTTCAAGAAGAGACTGGGCAAGCACCTGGCTGGGGGTCCTCAGCACATGACCTCAGCACTTTTTCCTGCCAGTGACAGGGGTCAGACTCGATGATCCTTTGAGGTCCCTGCCGATCCTAGCAGCTATGAAACCAGTGGGAGGCCCCAGACCTGAACTAGACTACAGCACTGTCACTGGCCCGGCTAGGGGACTGCAGGATTCTTGGACAGTGGTGAACCTAGTGAGGGGAAAGAAAGCTAGGGGCACGAGGCTTGCAACCATCACTTGACTAACAATAAGAAATAGAAAGGGAAAAAATGGCCACAAAAGTCCCCTACAGGCAATTCCAGGAAACATTAAGTGGGAAGCCTGCTTAATCCAGGCAGAAGGTTGCTATTCAACTACAAAGAGTATCCCCAGACAACACTTAATTCTAATGTTTAGAGATGCTCCTGATGTTGAAGGATCATTTCAACTCTTTCAACTCAGTATTTTAGCAGTATTACAGTACCAAGCACCAACTGTAACGTGTCCATTTGTACTGCTTACCAAGGGTATTTAAAAGCTCTACCTTTTGGTTATTAAAAAATATGCTGCCCCCTGACAAAAGACATCTTAAAATAAACAAAAATAAAAGGGGCAGAGGGAAGGAAAGGAGCCTATTGTAGTTTAATATAGAACAAGAGATGGAGTTAAATCTGATGACAGCACCAGAGACCAGCACTCAAAAGAGAAACCAAGTTTGATGATTTGCTCCTTTCTTGAGGTCTCAGGTAGAAGTGTGTGGTAGTGACATTCCTAATCTGTTATTTGCATGTCCCATTTCTTGATGTTCTCCCAAGATACAGACTAGAAGGACATGCTGGCCTCAATTTCAAGAGAAAGTTCTTTGAGATAGCATGATCTAGTGGCTAGCACACTGGAGCAGACTCTAGAGACCAAGGTGTGTTCCTAGCTCTGCCATCCATCTACAGAAGCCACTTCTCTCTAGGCCCATCTCCCCTCATGTCTTTTCTATTTAGACAGCAGCTCTTCAGGACACTGTCCCTTATTTTGTGTTCCCTACATGCAAAGTACAATGGGGCCAAAATCATAGTTGGCACTTTCAGGAACAGAACAGAACAGACAGTTATAGCAACAAGCTCATCTCAACCTGTGAGCAAGGAGGGGTGCAGGAAATAGGCCTAAAAATATCACCACTGAAAAGGCTGCATCTGAAAACTCTACATTAGAAAAAAAATCCAGTTTCTACAGAAGGATAACCTGCACAAGCAGAGCTGACCAAGTGAATGACAGAGTTAAAATTGTTTTTGAGCTCACCTCTGTGTCTTGAACAATATAGACATATGCACCATGAAATAGCAAAGCCAAATAAGTGTCTCTGCTTTCTGGAAGATAATACTGGATTTTACTCCCAACTAGGCAACCGCTCAGAGCATCTATGGCAAAAGGCATCGTTGAGTTCTCACTGATGGGTTTTATATAGTGTTTTAATGAGCGATCTAGAAATGTAAGTTTCAAATCTGTAATATGTAAACAAAACAAAAATGAGACCGGTTAAGGTTTCCACACAGACCAAGTGAAATATAATTCTGGAAGGTGCTTGAAGTAGAACAGAAAATAGGAGGGCTCAGAATCTTTTACCATTTACAATTCCTTCAGTTTTAGTGCCCTGGCCTAACTGAAAATCCTATTTGGCTTGTCCCCTTTAAACAATGTCTACCATAAATACATTTATTTTATTCTCTATACTAAGGAACAACCGTTCAAGTAAGAAGTAAGGACTGCAGGAATTAACCCTGTATACAGCAGCTGGGAAATATCAAGAGGCAGGAGCTCAGTTTTTCAGAGATGTATGCTAACAGTTCTAGTAACTTATTGAAGAACATGGATACTGCATCTATCACCTGAAGTTTTTTGGGGTAAACCACTGGCAGGGATAATTACATACTACGTATTCCTTTCTCTTCTGACTGTGGCAACAATATTCAGTTAAAGTAAAATTGCATCTTTGAAGACTGCACCATAAATCACAATCACTATGATTTCAAAATAACATGGCAAGTGCATCTAGATACAGAAACAGTTCTTCCCAGGCACCATAAGAGGGTAGTTTTAATTTTAAAACAAGAAAAAAAAAAGAAAAAAAAAAAATCAGTAGTTTTAGTGAAACAAGGGGAATCAATATTTGTGGGTTTTGTCCTGTTTTGGTTTTAGATGAGACAACTCACCATTCCCAGAGGCAAAGCCAGGGAATTCTCTACATAGCCCATGCAGAAAGGAAAAGAAAAGACCTACACAAATAAGAGCAGATGTCTTTGCAACACTAAAAGATAACTACAAATTCAATGAAACAGCTTAAGGTCTGGGCATAAGAATGGAATAAGCCCTTCAAGGACTGAGGCAATCTCAGACATCTTGGAGATGTCACCCTGCTACACCCACACCTCGCAAAGGCTGCTGGATTGGCAACAGGCTGCTCAAATCATTTTCCCTTTCTCCAAGCAAGGTATAAACTGCTGCAACTCTGCATGCGCTGTGACTTCTCTCAAGTCACAAGAATTCACAGGGTCATTCACAACACCACCTGTGGCTTAATTACATATGACCCACTGTCTTTAAATTGTTACCGTGTACATGCCCTTTAGCATTCCTCTTGTTCAATGGAATTCATACTTCAAAACAATGCTGAACTCCCATAAATAGTTTCAGGGTGGATTTGATTTAAATCACTGGTCAGGAAGCCTCGATTTAATCACTGCTTTCTACTAAAAGTGCATTCTTGCTGTTTGATCCCTTAATAAATATTATTCACAACTCAGAGATAGATGTAGGTTTATTTTTTGAAAGGTACACCCTATACATTTTTAAGGAGTGATTTTGATATTTTTCAGATTAATTTTGCAGCTACATCAGAAAACTGAATTACGACATTTAAATTGGTTTTTTAAAACTAAAATAAGCTCATATATTTTAGACATTTCTCCTGCAACAACAAACATGTATAATTATTTTAACAAAACAAGTGTATGTATCTTTGAATTTTTAACTATTTCAGTTATGTGAAATGTGTTTTTAACAAAAATTAAATAGATTATTTCAGCTAGGTTAACACTTCAGGAGTCTCTACTGGATCCAGGTGCTTAAGTGACTTCCACCAGTTCACTGCTGTGGCTTTCCTTGCAACCTCATCAGTAAACATATATTTCTTGAATGGTTCACCCTTAACCCTGAAATTTATTGTAGTTGATATTATGAATGGATGACTGCTAGATGCCTATGTCATAGCCAACTCCTCTTCAGCAGTTTAGGATTGACCCTGGTACCAAGTATTGAGAATACTGGCAAGAAAATGAGCTGGAGATAGTGTTTGATCCATCTGGTTTTTCAGTACCTGTATTTGAACTTTATCATTGCATATTTCTCTTTTCAAAGCCTCAACTGCTTCCAAATTTCAACAGCATCAGCAATAAAATAGCAACTTCCCTGCACTTTGTTCAGGGCTACAGAAATAGGCTTCAGGATAGTCAGCATACATTCTACATTTCTCTTTAGCTCACTGTTGAGAACTTTGGCTATGCTGGTTCCGCGTCTTTTTATCACGATTTTGTTCACAAATTGTCATCCGAATAGGCCAGTTCTCAATATATCACTCAACACAGTCCACTACTGAATTCTATCGCACGTCTTGTGGGAGAGTTAGTTTGGTTCCTTCTGCTCTCTTCAGAGCAGCTACTGTAAAGTGGTTGTTACGGAAGTATTTTGCAATTTCAACAACATTAGCCTTTATTTCTGGAGCACTGAAGTCTTTGGCTAAGAGGTGCATCAAATGAGTGCAAGAGGTGCATCAAATGAATGCCACAGTCATATGTTATTAGTCTGGGGCTTTCATCATTTTCTTCAAGATTTCTTTTAATCTCTGATGCATTTGCAGATTTGCCTGCGGCAAAGCTGCATACCAGACATTTGAACTTTTTTCACAGTTTGTCATAGCTTTTAGGGCTACTTCTAGTAAGTGTTCTGCTGTGCGTGCATTTCTTTGATGTATCAATTGTTTCTGTAAGGTACACAGTCCTTTCTTCCAATGTCACACAAGCACATATTACTGGATCGTTGTAGACATTGCTCCACCCATTAAGACTCAAGTTAACAATTTTCCCCTCTAGACTCATTGAACACTGCTAATTTCTCTCTCATACACTTTATCCAGCAATACTATCTCAAATAGTATATAATTCCAAGTTACAATCACTATTCCATGATGATATCTTTGAAATTTAACATATCTTAAATTAAAACAATCTTTATTTGGGTTTACTTCAAAGTCCAATTTTTTTTAAATTGTTGATTTTTATCCACTCTGATTGAAGCACATACTTGTGAAATCACTGGGACTAGATTAATCATGGATATTTTTGCCACGCTTTATTAGGAGGACAGCAAATGAGGGCTGCAGCCATATGTTATTAGCTTGGCGCTTTCTTCTAGATTTCTTCTCATCTTTGATTTCTTCTCTCTTTTTACGGCCTGGCAAGCCTGCTGCCATGCTAGGATTTTCCCTTCTACCATACCATTCCCTCACTAGATCTCAAATCAATGGAGAGGCTATAATCAAAAACTTATCCCTCAAGATACTACTCAAAATGTTTCTCTTTTGTTTCAACTGCCCCTCCCTCCTTGCATTTATCTACTCCACTCCCCAACAACCCTTTGTTCATTTAACTTCTTGAAACTTTGCACTTTTAGAGAGAAGTGAGAGAAACAACAGGGCTGATGGGCAGGTAAATTAGGCCTGTTATGTCTCATCTTCATATACTGCTGTTAACAAGAATGTTATCTCTGGAGACACAAATCCACAGCTGGAAAACTAAAACTAAGCATCACAGAGATACTTAATGGGATCTTCTAGACTAAGCACTGAGTCCTAGGTCCCACTGGGTAGAGTGATTTTCTTTAATCTTTAAAAAAACTATAGAAGAGCCTCCAGGAATCCCATAGGATTGAGCCCCTAATATAGTCCATGGCCTGTTGTGACTTATTTATAAAACTTTTCTAAAAAGCTCACATGAATATATTGTCTCAAATAGTATAAAATTAAAATTATAATCCCTCATTCATAATGATATCTTTGAGCTTTAACATATATGATTAAAAATAAACCTATATGAAGACAGTTTTAAAAAGCATCTTAAAAATATGATTAAATAAAAAAAAATATATGATTTTGAATAAAAATCAATTTAAAAAAAATGTTGATTTTTATCCACCCCATTTTAAAAGCCCTTCCTCTCTCTTGCAGAAAAAAGGAATTTTAAAAAGGGAACTGGCCTATTAGTCCCTACTGGTGATCTTAAAGCAATGATGAGAATGCACAGCAATGTGGTCCCCAACAGGCTAACTCATTCAGAGGCATGAGCTTTCATAGGCTACAGCCTACTTCAGCACAGGCTCTGAATGGACTTACAGAGAGCAGGAATACTAAATAGAAAGGAATAAGGTCATTTAAATACAAAGGCTGAACACTCCTTCACCTCTCAGAAGTGTTCCCTCTTTTCTCTCCCTTTCCCTATACATTGTATTTAAATGACCTTATTCCTTTCCACTTAGTAACCCTGTTCTGGGCCAGGCCATTCACAGCCTCTAATGAAGTAGACTATGAAAAATTCATGCCCCTCTGGACAAGTTAATGTATAAGGTGCCACATGGCCCTGCTTTCTGCTTAACTGCAGACTAACAGAACAAACTACCTCTCTCTAATGATGAGAATGTTATCGACTGTCATTTTTTCAAACTCAGCATTCTTATGTGAATGAACTCCAACCTTCCCCAAGTCCCTGTCTGACACGAAATTTAAAAAAAAAAAAGGGAGAAGAGAGATTTTTGGATATGATCACTACACACCTTTGTCCTCCCCACTGTCCAAGAGGAGCAGCAGAATTAGAAAAGGGTGTCAAGCCTAAGCAGTTACTTTTAATTGCAATTGTAATTAATTACAATTTAGGGCAAATGTCCTGGGTTAATATTATTAGATTACATTAAAATTAAATTAGATTAGATTCTCCAGGGTTGATCATGGTTAATTTCACAGTAACAGCAACCTGCCTGCTTTTTACATCAAAATGGAGGATCCACATACAGAACAACACATGAAGTTATTTAAGGGCCTTTCTTCACATAATAAAACTTAATGTTCTCTTGTTGAAAAATAAAATTACTGAGACTGAACAAGCCCCTGAACTAGAACAGATTTTGATTAAAAACTGTTATTATTTTTACCAATACTTCTGTTGCGATTAATATCAAAAAGAATCTCAAGCCCCATGAATGGAACAGATTGCATATATGAAAGATAACTTTTACAAATGAACACAGACGAGACATTTTGGGCTGCTTTCAAATTCTGATTTCTTTAAAAAATGACAGTGGCACCATTCAAAATATTGCAAGGTAGACACACTCAGGAGACTACCCTGTTTACTAGGCCTGTGCAAATACAGAAGTATTTGATTCAGATTCAGAGAACAGTGATTCAATTCAGAGATTCGGATCACTGTCCCAAAGCAATTCAGCCAAATCAGCTTTGGAAGATTCAGCACCGATTCACTGAGATTCAGATCGGCCGGGTAGAGGCAGGCACAGCCAGCCAGCTGCAGGTTTTCCCATGGCTCCTCCAGCTGTGCCTTCCTCTCCCCCATGACTGTCCTGCCTGGCCCCATCCCCCATCCAGCCCCAACCTAGTCCCGGCATTTAAAAAAAAAAAGAAGAAGCCCTGTACTCACCGGCTACAGGATCAACAACTGGGGCCTCTGGGCGCTCGAGGCAGAGGCCCCCTCAAAACACAAGGCAGCAGGGATCATCCCCCCACCACGCCTCGCACCCATGCAGCAGCTGCCCCGTGGTGTGGGTGCAGTATGACTTGGTAGGGCACCGCACACTGCCTGGGAACTGGGGCCACTGGAGCCGAGTGCTACTGGGCTCTGGCTGACTGCTGGAGCCACCCCAGCACCCAGTAAGTGGTGGAGAGGGGGGCAATCCCTGATGCTCCCTGCTATGCAGGGGGCTCTGCCATGAGCCCTCAGAGGCCCCCCCGATTGCCACTGCCAGAGCCAGTTACTGCGCAACTTTAAAAAAAAAAAAAAAAGGGCCAAGATGCTGGGCAGGGGATGGGGCTGGGCAAGGCTGCCACAGGGGCTTCTCTTGTGGCTCCTCCAGCTGTGCCTGCCTCTGCCCCAACAGGGGGATCCGCAGGGGCTAGGATCCAGCCTGCATGGGCGCGGGGGTGGGGGGTGGAGCACAATGCAGGCACAGCTCACTCTGGGCAGCAGGAGGGCACAGCCCCCACTCCCAGCGCTGCTATGCCCACATCAGCGCTGGGAGTGGGGGCTATGCTCTGCTGCCACTTGCACCCTTCCACCTGGAGCGAGCCGCACCTGCATCCAGCTGCACCCCCCACAGCCACCACCACCACTCCAGGCTGGGCAAGCAGCAGCAGGGCAGAGTCCCCGCTCCCAAAACTTTCACACCCACATCCCATTCCCCCTGCCCTGGCTGGGCAGCTTGTCCCAGCCCCAACCCCATCCTTCCCCCCCCTGGAACCCTTTCCCTCCTCCCTCCCCCAACCCCAGACTTACCAGCTGGAGGCAGCTGTCAGCTGCCTGTTTAGTCTATGGCTGAATCTCTGAATTGGCCAAATCTTTT